CTGCAGCAAGGAAGGACAGCATCTTCCTGTGCAAGAGCTGGAGCTGTTCAGAAGATGCAACAGACCTGTGGCACTGGAGGCCTCTATGGCGGCTGCAGAATGGGAGGAGGGAGGTGAGAGGAGGTCTCCAGAAGCTGGATGTCACTCCAGCAACACACTTGCACTGGTCCAAACTGCAGCCAGGCTTGTCTCTTGGATGTGGCAGTAGACTTCTAAGAAACTACTAGTGCCAGAGAAAATGAACTCTTATTTGGCAGACTTGTTCTCATGCAGTCTTCTGAGTCTCAGATGAAAGAAGAGAAAGAACCAAAAAATAAATTAAAAAAAAAAAAACAAGCCCTGAAATTGACCTATAAATGTTCCCTTGCCATGGGACTCCTGGTTTTTGTTCTTGCATGAAGTGAACATATATAGGAGTCTTGGACATTTGTGCCCCTACACCTTATGCACTAGAAGGGGAAAAAGAAACACTCTTAGAGTGAATCTTTATGGTCATTCAAAACACTTTAGGTAGATCCTGTCATATGCTTTATAAGTTCCTGACTGATTGTGTGGAATTAAGTTATTGGGCAGAGAACCAGCTAATGGAAACACATTGATGAAATCATTTTTGAGGGACATTAAATGGAACTTAAAATAAAGCTGAAATGGCTTTATGGATTTTTCAGTCAAACTGTTTATGAACATTTATAGGTGGTAAATTACACAGTGTCAGAAGAGGGAGTCGGTAGGTATGGCTTTTCATAGAAGTCGCTCTGATACAATACTATGAGAAAGAATAATTTATTGCCTAGGGATGTACAGTATAGTATGTTTAAATACAAATTATATTATTGTTTTCTCCTGTCTTTGACTGTTTGCAGGTAAGTTACCCTTAGCAGCATTAGAGCGTCTCAGAAGATAAAAAAGAATATTTTCAGTACTTTGCAATGAAATAGAAATTTTGTATTATGCATTTTTCATAGTAGAGAGCAAATGTTTTAATAACAGATAATTCAGGAAGCAGAATTGTTGATGTTATTGTTGTATGATAATAAGTTTAATTTACATTTGTTTTATACTCAGTAAAAGGAGAAGAGGATATAGGAGCTTTGATTGAGAAGGGGATTGTAGCAGCTAATTCTTGAACTGTTGGAGCTGTGCATTAATATCATTTGCCAAAATCCAGCGTTCCTCAAGTAGAGGGCAGTGAAAATAAGACTAGGGGAGTAAGACTAGAAAGCACTTTCTGGTCCTGCAAATCTTGTCCTGTGGTTTTGAGACAGCACATCTTATAGTCATGAATTTGTCAAATCCATTAGATTGTCTGTCCCATTGAACTGAAAAGCTGCTCCTGGTTTTGCCCCTCTTTTGGCTAGAAAACACTTACTTTTCTTCCCAAATGTATTTGGGACCTGTTTGTTGCCACTTACCCTCACGCCAACATTGACCTAGAGCCAGTAGTTCTTTTTCTTTGATTTTTTTTTTTATCCTCCTGATGTACTTATACACAGCATTCGTATCCTTCTTTAGCCATCATGCTGCTAAGCTGAAGAGCCAAGTCCTTCCAGTCTTCTTTTGTAGAATAGACTTTTTCTCTTCGTGCAGTCATGCCAGTATTTCCTCTCTGTACACTTTCCTCACTGGGGATGAGCTGGGGCTACATAATAGTTCAAGGATTCATTGATGATTCTTACAATAATGTGATTTTTTTCATGTTCCTATTAGACTTGCCTCTTGCCTTTCAGTTTAATGTCACGTTTGCCTTCCCTTCGGATCTGTCCCGCTGCCATGAATCATGAGTAGCACTCAGCCTTTATCCGGGGACGTTCCCATCCTGGAAGCATCCAACTTGGAGAAGGAATTTTTACTGCTTTCTAAGCACATGACCTTGGATTTCGTGTTTTTAAATTTCACCCTCTTTGTGTTTTTCCACTCCCTGAGGTCAAACGTTTGTTTCTCCATGACATCCCAGTTCTCCTCTGCAGAGCCAGAATAGCCCATTTCAGTGTCAACAGCACATTTCCCTCAAACTTTCCTTCTTTTTTTGCCAAAACCTTTACTAAAACCACTAAATGAGGTCAATTCCTCCAGCCTAATGCCTTCACTTTCAACACCATCCAACATTGATGCTATCACAGTCTGGCTAGGGACTTCCATAGTGGCCAAGAGCCAGACTTTGACACAGATGTCCAGTGTAGTTGAATCTCTCCAAGGTAGTTGTTTCCGTTGGGAGGCCCTGGGGGAGCTGCCAATTCCCCAGGCAGAGACTGAGACTCTTCAGCGTAGAAGAGAGAGGGCTGGTGGGAGTGGACACGTGAGGTCTATAACAATTCCCAGCAGCACAAAGAGAAGAGGATGGTCATTTACTGTTTTTCATTGTCCAAGGCAGAACAAGCACCCAGTAAAATCATCAGGCAGCAGGTTGAATCAAAGGAAGAATTGCTCCAGAGTATTTAATTCATCCATGAACACCCTGCTACAGAAAAGGGAACTCTTAAAATTATAATTAGGTGAGGAAAGCTTATCAGTGTCTCTCCAGTGGCTGGATGACACGGACAGCTCAAGAAGTCCCTCAGCTGCTGACAGCCAGAGTCAAAGGAGGGATGTCTTGGTCGTGGTCCCTAGGCATCCCCTCATGGCTGATGTCCTGCTCAGTGACAGGGACAGGTGGCCCTTTGAGAGATCTTGTGCTCTTAAAACAGAATAATAAGAAATGATATTGTCAAGGCAGGAAGCCTTATCAAGGCAGGTAGCGTTCATTTCTAATCAGTATCAAAGGAGAGAAACAGAAGAATTTGGAAATCTCATTCCTGTTCCCAGTGCATAAGGGACTCATCCATGCATCTGGGAATAAAGAAG